ATAATTTAATGTTTTTTTCAATTTTTTTTTTAATTTTAAAATATGGTTTGAAAGAACTCGGAAAGACGAGTATTTAAAAAAAAATCTGATGATCCGCCCATTATTTTTGGAGTTATAGCCCGTTAAAGTTAACCCTTATTTACAGTAAAACTATAAGGGTATAAGGGCTGTTTTTTGAACTTCATTTTTGTCATTCCGAGTTTCCAGATATAAATTTTCAAAATTTGGAATCACGGGCGTCCCATTTAAAATGTTACTCAAAGATATAATATTATCATTTCTGATGTTATGTAGAAGCTGTTAAAGCAAAAATCTCCGATCATATGCGTTTTACCCAACCCGAAACAGATACCGCCTGGACTACAATTTAATATTCAAGTTCGAAAGGCTTAATTATATCGAATTCCAATAAGTATATGCTAAGAAAGTGTTCTTATTCGTTTTCTACAATTATAAATTATTACAAAATTACACCGTCTAGATGCATGAATATTTTACCAAATTAAAGAGAATTATTTCACATCTTTTGCATACTCATAATTATATTATTAAGATACATGTAAGTTATTCATTAAATTATTACGAAGGTGAAAGCTAAATTATTTCGCGGTACGAACTCAACAGAACCGGTAGATGCGGAAATTAAGAATTTGCAAATTCGTTCCTACTAATTAAAAGAATTATAAATCATATGTTAAAGTTTAGCCGAATCAGATATGACCCATTTAACATTGTCTACAATGTTGCTGGCATTACATTATAATTTACTAATTATTTGTTTCTTCCATCATTTAAATACAATTTGCATTTATTTATTTAAGAACACCGATAAAAATTGTGGAAATTCACATAGGCTTTTTTACATATTTGTACATATTTATACATAAAATATGTAAATGAATTCAACGTACATGATACATTGTGTAGAGTTACACTTTTACATTTTGAAATGTATTATTCCTAATTCCTTATGTGTTTTTACTGTATTTGATATAAATATACGAATAAGTGTGACCTTATTTGAGTCAACCAATTAGATTAATCATGTGATCACCCGGTGTGGCGTTACTGCGTGTGCGTAGGAACTGTGTGCTAGTTGCTCAGTAGGCATGTTTAGATTCATCCGTGGCGTAATTTTAACTACCTAAATATAATGTTACAAACAAACACTGAGGGAAGCAAATAATATGACTGTAAATTATATAAATCTCTCGGTATATCTTCATTTAAAGTCGTGGAAAAGTATTCAGATTCAAAATCAGATTTTTCTAGATTATACTTATCTAAATGTTCAGCAATACTACCTTTAATTTTCTTACCATTTTGGCATACACAATAACAATTAATTATATTCACTGTAACATTATCATAAAGTTACTAATTTAATGGAAGTTGTAAATGAAATATTAACTTTTAAATTTTCCGTAATATTACTTCTGTTGTATGAGTTAAAACCAAAAAACAGAAGCGTAACATAACTAGTGACATCTGAATTAAAACTATTTAGTACTATTAAGCATCTGGATTTAGCAATTTTTGTGGAAGATGAAGTCAACTATGTGTCAAATGAGCATTAGTAGCCTGAGGGTTTTCTGCATTTGTGACACACAACTGTTTTTCGCCTAGCATTAAGCAAAACCAAAAAAAGGAAAAATATAACAAAAATTATTAATTTCATTGGAATTGTCTAGATTAACTGGTGTTTCATTTATTTGGTCGGAAATATTTAATACTTTGGTTGTGTTATTTCTCTTACTAGTACTAAACTGTTGTTTTGGGTTTGTTAAGATTTTTTGAGAAATGTGAATTTTATTTGATAAGCAGTCATCGATATATTCTTCTGCAACTGCAGAAGAACGCCAACCTCCATGTTTTAAGTGTTAATAAATCACTCCCAAAGTTGGCTAGTAGGATCGCGGAATTACGTCGGAAGCAATGTCCTGTGAAAGTAGTTCCAGGCAGTCGAAAAAAAGTGGCTATTTTGCTTGGAATTTTGCTAAATACATTTTTTCCGATCGGTTGCACCGTGCATTTATTATTCTTGTAATAAATGAACAGGAAAATTTGTTGTATATTGCAAGTAGATTAAATTCATCAACTGTTTTGTTTGTGACTGTAAACGTTCTTCTATTGTTTTTTGTTTGTGGAACTGTAATAACTATCAATATGTCTCCTCTATCGAAAAGCTTCGTATAGTCCCATAATAAGAGAAACCTACAATGCAATGCTAATAAAAAAACATAATTAATTCAACTTAGTTTACCTTGATCATAAGATATTCCGAATCATGTGTTTCCTTAAAAAATTCAATATTCTTAATATTATTCTTGTGTCAAACTTTTAGACTTTTTAGGCAGGTAATTTGCAGAATTATGTTTAAAAAATGAACTAAAAACATTATGGAAATTATCAAAATTAATATTTTCCTCGACTTTAAAAGCGCTTTTCAACATTGAAAATTTGGACCATGGTGTACCTGTTTTTACAATATTTGATCTTTCAGACAAGCAAGTAGTAGTACATTTTCTGTTAGGTTTTTGGCATTTTTATTCATTTTCCAGTTATTGAACTATTCAAAATAGTTTCCGTACCGTTGTTTTGACTTTGTAGGTAACAAATTCAGAGAAATATTGCTAACTTCAAGTCTCTTGCCTCTTGCAAGTCCGGTGGAGTATTTGTACATTCTTCGTCACTGTCTAAGTTACCATCCATTTTAACTTATTCAGAGAATTAAAGTTGTTCACAACTTATTGTTATTTTGTTGCGATTCCAAATATTAGTATTTAAATGTCAAAGTACGACAAGCAAGAGCGTGGCCAAAGGGGGGTCGGGGAAGGCAGTTGACCCCCCCCCCTCCCTACAAATTTGAAGAAAAGTATAAAAATTCTCTTAAATCAAGAAAATATTGGAAATTTTTATTAAAATATTTTATTTAGTTAAACTTTAATTTTCAAAATTAAAATACTACCTGTATATTAAAAAAAAACAGTAGTAGTAAGTATAAATACTTGTTCGAGAAAAAAATTTTCAAAATACTAAATTGTATGTTAAGAAATACCTAATACGCTTCCATATTTTAAAAATTTTGCTTTTCAATTTTAAATAAAAATAATTATCTATCGGAATCAGAATAAAAGTTTAACAATGCAACTAACTATACAGTGTTTCTTAAATAGAGCCCAAAATTAATTATTTTGTTATTATTTTAAGTAATGTAATGAGTATCGTAAAAGTGCACTTGATCAAATAAATCAATTTTGTTGTTTATCAGTTTGGAATGAAAAAAAGTGTAAAGAAACAAAAAGTGAAGGTAATACATTTTGTTTTTGGCAAATAATGATCGATGATACCCACACCTCCGCCACTGGTAAGTTTCTAAAGCTGGTAATTTTTTGTTTCATACCTACTGTCATGCTAAATATGCACACCGAATTTGGTTAAATTATCTCAAGCGGTTTAAAAATTAAAAATTAAAAACTGATTTTTTTTAATTTTTGACGCGCTGTAGCTGGACAATGGCTGTCCTAAGACCCACATTTATTTAACAAAAAAACCCTTATTTTTGGCTACATAATACGCCCCTGTATTTTTGATCTCTACTTAAGAAACACCCTGTACGTGTAACGCACCAATTTTGAAGACTTATGTATTTTGTAGAGGAAGCAAAACGTTTTTAATTTTGTAGGTTTAAATTTATATATTTCTTAGTTATTTGTAATTTTTTTATAAATTCTTCTTGTATTAGAAAGGTTTTATTAAAAGTATTTCTACAAAAACTTAAATCATTGTACTGTAGCGGTACGCTACAATTACATTTAGTACATGCCCCAATAAATATATTTTGCTTTCCGGGAATTTACGAGCCATATATATAAATTATACTTTGAATTATCGGAGATTATCCCAAATAAATGTTTTTAGCAAATGAGATTAGAGTAAGTAGGCTGTAAACATAAATTAGTTGTTGTTTATTAGGGTACATAAGCACAAACCGAGTAGACAATTACCCGGATAAGTGTTGATTAGGATAGGGTAATAAAAGTAGGTACCTGGGGATAAGGATAAAACCGAAAACATTTCGAGGCACGAACCAGAAGTCTTGAAGCCCAGTTCCTGCTCGGTTGTGTCTCGTGTTACCAGCGAAATTAGTGGAATAAAGTTTTCCAAGCTACTTGGAGTTTTCCTCCTCACTTGAAAACCAAACCACTGTAGTACCTATTTGCAACTTTCATCGTCTCTTTTATCTTTAGGGTCAATGTGATTTATTTTCACATAATGCTAGGCGAAAAATTTATGATTATAAACATTTTTTAAAACCATTTGCTTATACTTATATTAATTTCAAGTTTAAAGCCGCCAAAATGTAAAGGAAACGAGAAAGGTCTGGAAATGTAACAATTAAGTGAAGAAATATTTGAAACAGAGAAAATATTTCTTTCAGAGTTATAATTTGCAACAATCTTCCAGTTTCCAGATATAAAAAAAATGTATTAGAATATTTAAAATAGTAGGCGCCCATCCTTTAAAATGCGCTTTGAATTAGCCCCAATAGAGATTAGAAACCACCCGCAGAATTGTGCGTACACAAAACGAACGAAACCAGATTTATTAAAAACGGATTTGAGGATTTAAACCGTCTTTAATTTTTCGTCTGACCCTAGCCCCCCCTCCTCCCACACCGCAAAACACAACTTTCTACCCAACTCTTTGGTAAAATATCGCAATCATTATAGTCCAAACATTTGGGGAGGATTAACTATCAAGTCTTAACAGTAGCAGTTTGTGCTCCGTCTCGTTCCGTCCTCCGCGTCCGTCTCGCTCCCCCTCAACCCCATCTCCCTAAAATACGAAACTGGACATTACGAATCTAATTACAATCCTTGCTCATGCGTGGCCGCCGTAGATAGGGTTCAACTCATGGGGATACCCACTACGGTAGGGGTAAGTTGGCTCTGATCGTGAGACTCACTTGTTTTGTGCATGCCAGTAGCTTACTTGACTTCACTCTAGCCGCTAGGCAGCGCTGATCGACTCCAGGCCAACACATGCTACTTTGCGCGGTGAAAAGAAGCGTCCCGCGTGCGTATTTAGTTGACGAACAAATCAAGCACACGATCGCAAACTAGTTAAAACACTACTCCAAGACCCCGCTCTGTCCCCTGTAAGGGCACGTGTTTAGTGACTGTTATTGTGGACTGAAATCGTGCTGTGGTGTTCCATTGTTGTTAATTATGGACGATTTAATAGTTCGCTAGTAGACAAACAGTTTAATGGGACGAATTCCGATGACTGAGGTTTCCAAGAAAAGTTTCTAATACCCTCCAAAACGGCTACCGATTTCGAGCACTATTATTCGTCTTCTAGCTTAACTAACTCTGGTATGTTACTGTTAAATATTTCCCCTAACACGATTACTCATGATTTGTTTGATAATTATTGGTGTTTATCGCATGTTAATTATCTGGATAATAGTTTTATTAATTGCGATAAATTCTACGGCTGTCGATTTAAACCCTGATTTCGCTCCATATTTTCGGAATATGTTACGCGTTCTTAAATTATTTATATTGCAATTTGTCGAATTCCATTCGCATATATACTTTTTATTGCATTGACGCAGCAATACTTTTAAAACTGATGCGTTTAGGGAAAAAAACTGTTTCACTTAATTCCTCGCCTTCTATTTTCAATATAAATAATGTATATAATATTCCACGTGTTCAACGGGTAGTACAGAAACCTGTAATTGACATGGAAGTAAACAACTACTTTAAGAAAGTCTCGTATCAATCAGAAACAGAAAATTTGAAGAAAGCAGCTAGTAACAACATTTTCCTATGCTTAAATTGCTCTTATGTAATTACCGCTGAAGAGACAAACATAGAAAACGATTTTGTTTTGGGAAAATAGTCAGAAATAGTTGGAAATTATGCAAATTCATAATTACAATCCTCGTGGAGGCACTTACTACTTATACCTCTTAATTATAGTAATATTCTCTTACAGTTTCTAAATTATTGTAAGTGTTTGTTCACTTTCGAATGTTACATGAAATTAATCATACCAGTTTTATTTTTTATCTCAATAACTGAGTCAGTAAAACTCCTTGGTCGGCTCTCGCGTCTACTTTTGCTCCCATTTTAACGCTTTAGATATTATCTTCTACTAGTTAGACGTATATAACCTCATTTGTAATATATTACACCCACATTCCGATATACAATTGAACGTATTAAGAAAAACAAGCGTTAGGCGCAACAAAGTGTTCTGTTATATTGTTGGTTCAATTAGAAATACAGACAAATTCAAATCTGTATCAGATATTGCAAGTATAGTTCTAAAACCGCGTGGATACCAATTTGTACATCAGATAAACACTAGGGAGGTATTTTATGATTAGAAGACAAACTGAAATTGATATGTTTGAAAAATGCTGTAGATAGGTAGGTATTTTTGTGTTATACTCAAAATTCATACAAACAATGTCGAGTAAGTAGACGAGAAAATTACCAAAGTAGTCTCTAGAGAATAGAAAAATGTGATGAAATGTTTGAGCACACCGACACATACTTTTTTGTGGGATAAATTATTAAAATTAAATAAAAATCTAAAAAATTTAACAACAAAACAATATCTCTAATTAATTCAAAGGAAACAATCAAACTATAGGCGGATGAAGATTTTAAAGCCTATTTCCTTACTCTACTGACTTTCTGTATACCTCAAGTCCTCTTTCAGAGCTGTCAGTATGTTTGAAAATGTCACAGGATGATATTTTGTAATACCTATTTAAGTATAATATTAAAAATATCGCACCTATTTGGATGGGTTGGCAATGTTTCTTGAATTGCACAATTCAAAATTTTTACTTCGATAATTTATGCATTTCCCATTATACTAGAAGCAGATTTGTTTACAGTCACGGTATATAATTTTAAAGGGTTGCAACCCCTGGATAAACATATTTTGTTATTTTGTAGCACAGCGCCTGTGAATTTAAACTAAGGTTGTTTACAAACTTCAGCGGATTGTTTGAGTAAACTATGAAAACAGACATAAAAAATATTCCAATACGTTGTAGTGGCATCTCAAACTTCTTTGCCCAAAACCTACATTTTTCATAATAATATACCAATTCCCAAAACACTATTTGCAATAGCTTTTATTTACTGAAATCTGTAACAGAACAAATGAATACTCATTTGCGTAACCCTTATTTAATACATATTGTTAATTGCTATTCTAAAAAAATTTAAGCGATATTTAAAACGCGATTTATTTCGATATTTAGCTGAAGCCGGCTGGCCGACTTTATTTTTCTATCGATTCGTAAAACCATTAGAAAACTCGGCAACCGTCCACTGTTTATTGCCTTGTTAATCTTTTATTAAATTCCGAGACACCTTTTTTGTGGATATCACTTCCTTTATTTCGGTCCATTTCATCTCTTAATGATCTAGCCGAAAGTGTAAACAGCGAATTATTGTTTTACAGTAATAAAATCGCATATTTGATACAGGGCGAAAAATATATTTTAACTGCATTGTGAGTTCAGTAATTCTTCTAAATTACAAAAAAATATGTACGGATATGTTATTTTTTTAATACATCCATCCATGTGTACATTTTGGGACCCGCTAGCTAATTTATTCGTGCGCATGAACGGATTGTCAGATTGCCAAGTCATGTGTCAAGAAAATTATTTGAAATAACACCTCAATCTTCTAATTTCATATTGCGGGTTAAGCATTCTAGTTTAAAAGATAGTAATTAGTTTGAAAAATGGATTAAAGTTGAATTATGCGATAAAGTTGACTCAAATTTGAACTATATAATAAAGAAAGCTGTAAATGATTGAAAAATTAATGAAAATAGTTTATATAAGGTTCAAAATTGCACTATTTAAAAACCATCTATTAAGTTACTCGAAAAATATATAAACAAATAAGTATTACAAAATACGTTTAGTTAATTTAGTCAACGACCTGTCAAGCTAAAATTATAGTAATCTTCCCATCCACATGAATACAACATCATTATCTCAATGGTTTTCATGGCAAAGATTAACTTCTATCTACGGAACGTTAAAAATTAATGTTGCAAGTTTGTTGAATTTTCAATCGAAAGTATTTTTGGGATTTGACAGAAATGACTAATGACGTCATCAATTATTACATTTTTCCAGAAACATGCCCAATTTTTTTTCTAATAAACTTTTATTAGAAACATTTTTCTGTATTACTTATAAGCTATAAGTAATCGTACTACAGAGTCTCAAAAGAAATACCACCTAAAAATCACTTTAACGGTAGAAGGAAAATAATTGAATATTCGTTGTTGAAAGTGCATAAATGTCACAACATACTTGTTATTGTTCGATACGAACGTCAAACGTATAACTTTTGTGCTTGCAAAATGTTTTCTCATTCAGAAAAAGTTGATATGTTGCTAATTTACGGCGAGTCACAAAAAAATTCAAGAAAAGCTGTAGAAGTTTATCGAGAAAGGTATCCAGAGCGATCATTCCTGATCATAGAACCTTTACAAGATTGGAGGCGACCTTGCGACGAAATGAAGATGCATTTTCTCTTCGGAAAAATCAAATAATTGACCGAAGGGTGAGAAAAATGTTAATACAGACTAGACTGTTACAGTATTTCGAACAAAATCCACGAAATTCTATACAGTTTTTTTATTATTTACATTAAATATGTATCTCTATAGTCATATAGTCATATTTTCTTCATTTAAAGACAAAAATATCTATCTTCGTCCATATCGACGAAATCAAAATTATCAAATGTGTGATTAAAACACTAAACTAATTAAATTTGCTTGAAACTTCTCACCAATCATTTCAATTTTAACGAAATATGCTTTGTGCTTATTTTTTCACTGCACATTTGACATTTTTTCAGCGTTTATCTCTTCGATTCTTGCCTTCGATAGCAGCATATAATTAAAGTATTGTACTTTGTGTTTACAAGGTTTACAAAATAAATCTGATTGCTGAGAAAAGCGCGCGCTGTATGACATAAAATATGCTTTGTTTAAGTGCCTACGGTATGTTTGTTTAAAAAAAATGTGAGAGAAAGTAGGTGTTGCCTTAATATTTTACTTAATTACATGAATCATTGGAGTCGAGATTCTGTCATTCCTCTTGAATTATGACCGACCGCTAAAATCTTAATTATAACCCGTGAATCACTAAAAATCGCTAAAATTAGCATACGGATAATATCTGACAATTAACATTATTAACAATCGGCTGGGTGCGTTTTTTCGTTTTAATTTATGCTACGGCTAGTTTTACATTAGAGAATCTATTAGTGAAATAACATAATCATAATTAGATACCACCGAGGCAATTACCTTAATTGTTATTAACGGATTTTCGGGTAATTACATTAATTACAATTACGCTTTTGTATATTAATGAGTTTTTTAAAATAAATAATTAATGAAAGTCCGAGTTTTGTTTGATAAATATCTAAATAATTATAGGTATATATCAAAACGGAATTTCATTTAGGTTAACAATAGAATACAAAGATGGTCAAAGACTAATTGGTACCTACATTCTTTATACATGTTGTAAATTCTAAAAGCCAAAGGAATGTTATATCTCATTAAATTACTGTGATAACTAAAACATTATATATGTTATTTTATAATTGTTGTTCAAATCATTTTTTTAATGTGCTATATTTTTCACATCATTTATCTATTTCTATCACTATTTTCTCGTTAACAAAGTTTTGTATTGTTTCTCGTCAATACTGGGATAAATTTATATAAATGATATGTTTGATTTCTTAATAAATAATTTCAACAAATTTACATGGGTACTGATTATATCCAGAATTATTTTAACGTTAGAATCCACATAAGAAAGACCAATACCTACATCATTTTCTGAGAGTTTAAGCAATAAAATTTATACGATACACAAAGCACAATTTCGTAATGACAACAACTTTTGGTTCTATGGGTTTACCTATTCGTCATCATATTTATATTATTTGAACAAAAAAAGATATCGAATCCTTTGGAAATATACGCCTATCTAGTTTATACCTACATAATGCGATATGTGAAATTTAATTTGCTAGATGCACATTATCAACAACTGGGTGGTTTTAATGCAAAATTAGAACACAAACCCATTTATATATAAATAAAGGAATACAATAATTTTTAGTGTATTACTTTTCTATCAAAAAGATGTATAGAGTGTTTCAAAAAGACCTCCCGTAAATACAGGGGGTGATAGTACTACTAACTAACTATATGTCTATCTTTTCTCGTTTTCGAGATAAAGAGCGACAAAATAAAATTTTTTAAATTGAATTTTTACGAAAATTTCCAAACGGTACGA